CGACGTTCTAGAAAGCCTCGAAATTGCGAATATTTCTCGCCGCGAACCGGTCCTTAAAGAATTTATGTCTATTAAAAAACTTAATAGCGAAAATTAATCGTCGCCAAATAGTTTACTCCTTGTAAATCGGGAAATACTTGTAAAGTTGTCGCGAATAATAGTTGGTTTACGGTAGGTATTCGCTATTCTAAGATTTTTTTCAACACTTATAATTTTTTCCATGATTCTAATGTGTAAAATACTTTATGTATATCTTAGACAATACTTTTATTGCTATTTGTTTGCTATTAAATAAAGATATAAACGTGAACCCGATGTTGTTCTTCTGTACACTAGTTTTCCTATTTTCTTAAGTCGAATTCGCGGGGTTATAAGTGGAAACATTATCATAACAATATGCCACTAAGAAATGGTATACAAAGATTATGATATACTGGTAATCACTTGTCTCCAAGTTTGTATCGAAGAGCAGAGACAATTTTAGTAAGTATTAATTGTTACACAAATTAAATCATTCCTATCTTTTTATGATAAGTTTGACACATCATTTATAGAAGATCGAAGAGTGTTTCTTTGAGATGTAATGCTTTAACAAGATCCTTTTTTGTGCCATTTCTAAGTAAGGTACCATAACGTAAAAGGTCTGCAAAAAAAAAAGAAATAGACTTGAACTTGAATTTTTGCGAATAATATACCCACGTAAAATCAAGGAGATTTACAATTTCAAAACTTATTAGAACTAGCAAAGAAAATGGTCTTGAATTTTTAAAACAAAAATGACAACAGTGGAAACTTAATGTATTGAATACAGTAAATAAACATTAAAAATGTACATATTTTTTGCTCTAAAAGCCTTAGAACATTAATATGAAACATTTTCTTTCAATGGGAATGAAAAAAATTTGGATTATTGATGTCGATTATAGTACATTATTTTTGATTTATTTTTTATTTCAACTTAAAAGCTTCCAGAAATGATTACTTCACATACAGAATCGTAAGAAGATATTTTAGAAGGGGGGGGGGGTCATACATACATACATTTCTTTGGGCACACTTTCACCGATCAAAAAGTTCTTGGAAAGCCAAAATATGGGGGAAAAAGGTCATCAGATGTTTTCGTTGACTTGACACAAGCAAATAAAAGCTTTGTGTTCTTTATGCTGACTGATTTTTTTCATACTGATTGTCAGGCCATTATTTACACACCAAGTTGTCCACGGGGTTTTCCGTTTTCCCCCGAACATGACAAGAAGCACACGGCGGCTGTGACCGGTCGGCAGGGGAAGCTCACTCCTCCTTGGTACCTGATTCTACCTCTGATGTAATGGAGGTCCATGTTTGCTTCTCTCCTATTTTGAATTGTTTTATGGTCCTTTGAGCTCGTGATCTCCACATATTTCAATAAGGTATCAACTACCTTTCTAAATATCGGCAAAAAATGACCGCCCATCCCACTACTATGACGTACGACTATGTTAAGGCTGCTTAATTTTTTCCGAATGCATCGGGTAACAAAATATTATTACCAAAAACAGTTTAAACATGACAGGAGACATTTACAACTATCACAACTAAAGAAATGAACACAAGGCTATGATTTGTACGAAAAATGCGTCATTTTTCTACATTTGTTATTGACCAGGGAGTCAAATTTCTACGTAGAAAGATGAAGATATTCTAATCTTGTTTTAAGGTATCAATTTTCATTAGTCAGCATTGTGCAGTCATTTATTGGACTCGTTAATGTTTGTTAACATTAGTTACAATTTTTTTAAAATAACAACAAATTCCGATCAACTTTAAATATTTTTTTCAAAATAGTACCGGATGTTTATATATTTTAGAAAGGATATTAAGGGAAAATTGAAGAAATCTACAATCTATATATGGCTGTTTAAAGTATAATTCAATTTCATTTGAGTGAAAGTCATATTATAGGACAGTTTAATTAAACATTTATTTTTCCTGGTATTTTTGTTAATTGGTGTTTTTTTAGAATTAACTTCCCTGATCGAAATTTACATCTAACGCATGAATAAAAAAAATAATGGAAGTAAATTTTAAAACGAAATGGTATCTGTCAACAATAATATTGATCCAAACCGCTGGAGTGCTCAATAGTCTAGAACTTAAAAGGTACGAAAAATTAACATTGATCAATCAAATTGCTGAAGTAATGTAATGGAGAAAATAAATGTATTTCTCAATTTTAGGGGCAATTCTACATGTAAATATAACTTCTATTTCGATAACCTATCGATGGACTGTATGGGTAAGTTATCTAACATGTAGGCATTACATGTATGAGTGCAATGAACCAAGAAATAAAAATATTATGTAATACTTAACGTGAATAAAATTAAATATATTATTTCCTTTAAAATATTCCTTCATATAAAGATATATTATTTGCTTTGAAGATTTTTTTTCATGCAGAGTGTCCATGGGGAAGTTTTGGGGTGAATTGTTCACAAGAGTGTATTTTGGGTTTCTATGGCCGTCTTCGTCAGGTTGCTTGCGAATGCAAATCACAACATTGTAATCCTGTAAATGGATGCCAGATAAATGTTACTCAGAAAGGTGTATTTCTCTGTTCATAATTTGAATTTTAAATATTATTTAACTGAATATATATGAAAAATACGAAAGAGATTTAGAGTTTTTGCTATTTTATCCATGCGTTTTTATTGGTATTTTTAGTTTTGTCTATGAATAACAACTTTAAAAACTAGCTTTATAATTTCAAAAGTGTTCACAGAAGTTATAAAGTCGAGACAACAGACTGAATTAATGTCAAGACGGCTAGAGACCTCCATGGATATTTCAACACTGAACACGGCAACACAATCAGAGTCATATCTGAACAAGTCAACGCTTGAAATGGAGACTACAACATCCAGTATATTAAAACAATGTTACCTGATTATTTTATATCATAAATCTGCTATGAATCTGTTATGTAATGTAGATAAAGGTACTGAATAGATTTTTTGTTAAAAACTGGTTTCAATTATGGTGTTATGGGCACGTCTAAGATTTTACATTATCAATGCAAAGATGATGTTGAATATCAAGATTAAAGTATTTGATATCCCCTTTCACCCTCATTATCTGAAGAAATCAAAGGGAAGAAAAGGGTTGGGGATAGGTGTCGCTCCCTGCCTAGATACTTGTAGCTTACATGTTATGTGTGCCTGAAATGACCGATTTGTATGCTAAATGTCTGCATGGCTAAATAATGACTGCATTTGAGAATAATAATATTGTTGTTAATCCTATATAAAATCACATCTTACTGTATTCCCTTACATTTCAGAACTTTCATCATCATCATCATCATTTATCAGTAATATTACTACAGTTCGGGATCACGGACGTTTACCTCAATCAAAATCATCAACCAGTATACTGGAATATGCTTCATCGGAGAGGCCTAAGGAAATAACAGAATTTCCTACAACTGTAAAACCCTCAACATCATCATCAACATCACCATCATCAGATAAAACAGAACAGAACAATCACTGGATGTTGATTGCCTTAATTTTGATTGCTTTGATAGCAGCAGCATTTGTTGGTGGAGTTTTTAATGCACTCAAGTAAAAAACATTATGCCTGATTACTTATTTTGGCAAATTCAAAGACAACGTATTTTTCAATTTATATTTATTTTTATAATAATGAAAAATACTGTCAACTTATATTTTTTTCAGACCTAAATGTAGAATGCCTGTTGTTTGTAATGCAAGAAGTTCTAGTCAAGGTAAAATAGACATGCATTTACCTGTTATTATGAAAAAAGTAAGAAAGAAAATAAAAATGATTGGTTCCATAAATCTTTAAAACAATACTTTTCTGTGAATAAGACATATCAAGGATCCATTGAAATTCAAAAGGTAGTGTCTAGAAGTAATAATTTTTATGCGTATCCTTTAATGATGATAAAATAAAAGGAAGGATTAATTGTTCGGTGGATTGATAAGTTTCGAAACTAAAAATTATTACCGTGTCTGAAAATTTAAATCAAGAATCAAATTATTTAAGTCCATTTATTAAAAAAATTGATATTCAAATATTCTTCTCTTTTTTACCAATAGATCACACAAATGTCAACGATCAAAAGATGAACAAAAATATTCAACAAAGAGATACACCAAGGACTTATGATGAAGAGACCCAAGACTATGATGAAATTCAGAAATCCCAACTAAATCAGCAATTGAATCCCGTTCAGTGTACCTCTATCGAGTTCAGAAGAGAGAATGCTGAATCCGAACTTAGATCTAGTAACTCACAGAAACAAAGCATGTACAAAAGGATCTCGTTCAATTGTGACTACAACATCTTATTGTTGAAACAAAGACAGAGTGCTGCTATCTATGATCATGACTGGCGTAGCAATGGGGCTATTCTTGGTACTGATGAAGAGTTTGTTACACTTCCAGGAGGCGAAAGTTTGAATCTACCCGGTACAGCTGAAGATAATATTTTCCAAACGTTGACTCGTAACTTTGATTTTAGCCGAATCAAAGGAGAAGAAAGGCTTGATTGTTCACTTGGATTGATCCGATCTACTTCTGAATCTCAACTCTCTGAATTTAAATTTGCTCCCAATTTAAGAGAATATGGCTTTGACAATTTATCGAATGAAGAAGGGCTTTATTGTGAAAAAGAATATATCGAAGTAGCAAAGAGAATATATACAACCTCAGTTCAAATAAGTGAAATAGAAGAATTTAAACCAGAGATGGAGATTACACGGTTTTAGTTGTGTAGGACGATTAGTAGATTTTTTAAATTATGAATGTCTCAATATTTTCAAAGTCAACCAGGAAATGTTTAAGAATAAAATTTGTTAATCGCTGGAATCGAATCTTTGAACTCGTTTTCCCTTAACAGAAAGTAAACAAAACGAAAAAGGAAAAAAATAATTTACAATCTAATTTTCAGGGGAAGGGGTACTTCCCTCTTAACCATACCCTTTAAAAATCATAAAACGTTGGATATTCTTCGTATTAACTTTTGAAAATTAAATGATATGCACTTAAAGTCAAATAAATCATTGAAAATTAATGTAATTCTTAAAACATTAATTTTGATGGAGAGCATGCTCTTGCGTATCGAATTGAACGGAAGTCAGACTTGGAACATGCAGATTAAATCATTACTCGAAATAGTACAAGGAACACTCGATATTTGTTGTATTTGAACTTTGTTTCACATTGGAGAGGGCTTCAACGATTTTATTGTAAAACGTTTTAACAATAACCTGTTTGACAATATATAGACAAAATATGAAAAAGGGGATTTTTTGCATAAGTAATACATTGAAGATTAACTGAAGCCTGATTAACAACTGCAAGTATGTCATATAATTTAATCGTTAGTTAGCCTTTTTACTTTATAGTCAATTAACATTTAGATATGAAAGAAATGTTGCAAACTTTCTGGTGTCTTTTTTATCTATTATTTAAATTATATTTAAAAGTGACTGCTGGTATTTGTAATCTGTGTGATTGAAGAGAAAAACAGACATATGAGAAATATTTATATATCATTAAAGTAAGCATGATATCTAAAATCTGTATACAGGAAAATTTTTAGCCCCGTTTTATTTTCGCCCCTTACGCCCTACGCTGATATGGGTGAATTAAAAACGGAACAAACTCAAAGAATATAGTATAATTTCTTTAGCAAAACCATGACTGTGTGAATTAAAACGGGTAAAATCGTTTGTAAGTGTAAAGGTGCGAAAGTAGCACGAGGCGAAATTATCCTTGTTTACAGTTATTGTTCATATGCCTCACCTATGCATAAAATTTTCTCTTTTGTTGTTCTAAATGTTGAAATGTGGAAATCACTTGTCATGTGAGTTTCTGATAACCATGATTTTAAATTAAAACCCTTGCCAAATATAAGACAATTTGAGTAGTGGAATGTTTGTTTCAAATTCCTTTTAAAAAGTGCTGAAAATGGAATATGGAGATAAAGAACAGTATTAAGACTCAAAAGTCCATTCAAACAATACAAATCGTGAACAGAGCAAGCACGGACTTAAAAAATATCAGAGGTAGTATCAGATGTCATGTAGGAGCGAGTATCGCCTGCCAAATGTGCTCTCCCGCTGGGAGCCCCTGGTCATGATTGGAAGAAACCCGCAGACAACAATTCATTGTGAAATATAGCTGCCTAATAATTAGTATGCTAAAGTTCTGCATTTTAATAAATGACTCTTGTTGACAAGATCTTGTATCGACCATAGCACTTGCAAAGTTATGACTTTAACGAGACTGTTGATATTCCTGTTTCCTCAATTACAAGTATTCCACTTGAGGACTTTGATACAGCTCTCCACCAACAAGTGGTGGTATCTTCATATGAGTGGACAATCTCGAGAGGGACGTTAAAGAACAATTAATCAATCTGACATCAGAACATCCAAAATATTCAAGTTTTTATGAATTAATATCTTATTTTTTGGTCGTGAATAAACACAGACACAATGTTGTCTGTAGTCTAAATGTATTTCTCGGCGTTTCTGACGTAGAAATATATAAATATATTTTAAATGAGTATTGTTACTTTTTAGAGGTATTTATTATTTAATTTGTTTTGATAATTTTTGTCAGTCTAAACTCATTAAATTGTTTGGTTGTGTTATATTAAAATTATGTTTTATATCACACATGTATATTGTTTGCATCTTAGTCATTACTGAAAACAAGCAATTGTTGATAAAATGCTAATGAATAAATTTTTAGATGAGAAATTGTTAAGGAAGTAACTTTTGAAAATACAAAAATAAATCAAACTCAGATTTAAAGCCTCATTTAATATTTCAGATGAAATTTCCCGGAGATTTAAAGTCACTTCATAATATGCTTCGACAAAAATGAAGTTTATCTCCAAAGTTATCTTATTTGAGATAATTGTTAGTACACAATCAGTCTTATACATCCAAGAAAATTGTTCAAGGTAAGTTATTTCTTGTCTTCAGGTTTCCCCGTGTATCTTTAAAACCGTTGCATTACATTAAAGAAAAATATTCAGGTTTTTTAAGATAAAATACAACAGTGTTCAAATTCATAACTCAAAAGATAAATCGTTCAAAGGGCAGTCACAACCGATGTGGTAAAAAAAACTTGTTCTTTGTTTACATTTTTCTATTAAATATTTGTTTAATTATTAATAATTAGACAATTATCTCAAATGAATTTTAATGCAGAATTAAGGTATGTCAATCGTGAAATTTGTTAAATCAAGGATTTTTTGAGAAGTATATTTTTGATAGGTACACATATAGTGTAACTCAAAATCGCAGAGAAAATAGGGGGTCAGTGTGCATCTTACTGATCTACGGTACAAATAAGTTGACCTTTTTGCACATAAATCTTAACTCTTTGGTTTAATACTTTAACCTTTGTTATATTTTATCAGATGTAACCATGGCAATAAATATAATCTTATTTTACGTGAAATGTTTGAGTAATATTTATGATTGAAAAAATCTTGCAATTAATGCGCGTAAATTTTTTCATAAACTTTTTTGCACTAAAATGTAACATGTTTGGGGTATTTTAAAAAACTAAATAAGCAATAAAACATTTTCTTATTTCAAACTTTTTACGACTTAAGTGCTGATCAGTCACAAGTACTGAGTAGTTCAAAATAATGAAAGAAAAGGTTGGGGCCAGTGATGTGAAGTTTGAAATATTGGTCAAAATCTGTGTGATTTTCAGGCAAAAAATGGTGTAAATTTATCGTGACTTCTTTAACACATCTTCATATTTTTGGCAAAGTTTGTTAATAGAGGGTGTAAAACTTCTTGTAAAAATTATAAATAAAGACCTATATTAAATATATCTAGCAACATCCTAACGGAAAATATACTCCCAGTAAAAGTATTTTAGGCTAAAGTTTCACGATGTTGAATTCAATAAATTTGCTGATTTGCAGAATTTTCTGCCAAATATCCTTCCATCACAAAAAAAAGTCCCACATAAATCTAGCTTCTTTGTAGATTTTTGAGCAGTTTTTTCGTTGAATACAAAAAAATTACATTATTGAATTTTAATATGTCATGAAAATTGAATTTTAATAAATAGTTTTGAAGTAATTAAGAGGTTCTGCGAGAAAAACAGTTGACGAGTGACATACCTTAATAACTTAATATTATGGCCAAATACAGAAAGAAACGTTTTTACAATTTATTTCACAAACTTTGGGACTAAGTTAACACACTTAGAAAGATCGATACTTTTTTTCAAAATGCGTTTAATTGAGCTTTAATAAAAAAAAAATGTGCTCGACTTGATCACTATTCTCGGAAATTTCAGGTATGCATTGCAAATTTACGAGTTCCATTTTTATTGAAAAAGCAGATGTCAATGATATCAAAAAGCCTGAATTTAAATTTATCGTGTGGATTTTTTTAGTATAAAATTGAAACGTTTTTAAGCTGTTGCTTTTGGTAATTTCTTGTAATTCAAAAATTTTCAGAAATTTCCTACAAATATTTTAAGAATCCACATCTTATTTAAGAAGAAGGATATGGAGATAACGAACAGTATTCAACCTCAAAGTCCATAAAACAATATAAAATAAGAGCAGAGCAAACAACTTCTCGAATGTAAAGTTGAACAGCACTCTTGGAGTTTTCCTTTCACTACTGTTATATCTTAATGAGTAGAAGAGAAAGAGGTTGATTGAACTTTTACTGGAAACCACTATTTATCTTTGTAAGGAGTTTTATGACGTTTCGGAATCCAATATAGATATGTACTCAAATTCATTTTGTTGGTTTGGAATTTTAAAAAAAATGTTCAATTGTAGAATTAAAGTCCATTTGATTTAATGAGCCTTTCAAACAAAAACAAATTGTTTCCTGTTTTAAGAGCAGGGACCAGTATTGATCATTTAATTTTATTCTTAGATAGATGCAATATAACATTTTGTTTTTCCTGTAAATTTTTAAGCATGCAAATATTTTTTAATTAAATGCACCTCTGTAATAATTATTCTAAATATCACAACTGTATTGATTTCCAAAATTACCACACGTGTATTTAAATATATGTAACACGACTATCAAGGTCGTTAACACGGTCGAAATATTCCAAAAAAGTGTTTGAAAGTTTTTTTTTATTTTGTTATTTAAATATAAATAATATAAATAATCAAGCAACATTAGGGAAATCGGATCAATTACGATTTTCCATACAATGAATTCAAAACCTCTCTCTCTTTTGTAAATATCTATCTATCACATTCATCAATCTATCTTTCTAACATAATATAATATTTTAAAAAATTGTTAAAATATTAGAAAGTAAGAAAAATAGTTCTTTTCTTACTTTACTGAAATTTATTTATTATATGCATTCGATCTCATTTGAGGTCTGGAAAAACATTTCTGAATTTTATATAAGTTTCTTTTCATTTGCATCTCATTTTAAAAGTTACTTTGGTCAAAGTAGAGTTAGTTGCTTATTATCGCTAAGATCAGCAATATGGTTCCTGAGCACTTTTTTTATTTTGATATAACAGGATGCCTTAATTGTTTTGGTTTTTTTTTTTAGGAAAGCTTATATTAATTATTTAGATCTCTTCATAGATAACTAAACTTCAGAGAAAGTATATCATTGTCATACACGTTATATAAATATATATGTATTTGTATAGAAAAATTAAGAGTTGGGTTGGGGAAATTTTTTTTTAACCCTTAACGTTTGGTGGAGTATATTTTAAACGCTTTACACTAGAAAATACAACGTGCAGGTAAAAGAACACAAGTCATCTTTTTACTTTCCATGCATTCTAAAAAAGATTTATTTTTTCCTTTTTAGCTTTTGCTCATTTTCAGTACCTAAATCAATTACACATATTTATTCATGCATACAGAATGTACAAGGATATGTCACTGTTATATCATATTTTTATTATCTAAGTTATATTAGTTATCCATTTACTTATCTATTGAGGTACATGTGTTTTTGAAATTATTGCTGACAGATCTCTTTTTGAAGAAGAATAAGATATCAATTTTAGATCAAAAGGATTAATAATTAAATACCAATTTCTTTGCTGTTCTGGATTTTTTAAAGAAAGGGATATCAGTGCTGCTATAACCAGTATCTAAACGATAGGACTAAAGAATGTACTGGTACGTATATTTTTGATTTTCCTTTCAGCTCGGAATTAAAATACAATGAAAATAAAATACTGGAAATAAAATACGCGACACAAACAGTTTGGTATACAAATCTCTATACAACGGTTTCTTTTTTATGTTTGTAACCAGAACAACATATGAACAATGGAACCTAAAGTGTATTTAAATATAGAAGTTTGT